CCAACGGTTACTTTAGAAAGAGACAAAGAACGAATTAAACTAAGCTTAAAGTTAAGCGACATTGGTGAAATCGGGCCCAAGATTGAAGTTAAGCGACGTTTGGTGAAACCGGGCCTAAAGCGCTTGACTTTAAGCTTAGTTCAATTCGTTCTTTATCTCTCTCCAACTGTTATTTTAGAAAGAGACAAAAAACGAATTAAGCTAAGCTTAAAATTAAACAACGTTATTTTAAGGGCCTTAGTTTAATTCATGTTTGTTTCTTTCCTAAGTAACAGTTGGAAAGGGACAATGAGAACGAGTTAAACTAAGCTTAAAGTTAAGCGACGTTGGCGAAACCGGGCCTTAGTCTATAATAGATGCTTTAAGTTCTAAGTCTTAAGAAATTAATTAATCACGGTCGAATATTCTCCTCATACTTGACTGTGATTGGTCAATTTCTTAAGGCTCGGGTCTTAAATCATCTATTGTAGACTCATGTTCATTTTTATCAATATGCAGACTAACTTTAATCTCGGTTTAACACACTTTTCATCTTTTTCTAGTTCCGACAGCTAGAAAACACCGTTCTAGTTCTAACAGTAAGAGCTACACCGGTAGAAACGAACATTGGTCGACGATGGCATTGGCATCGACACGTCGTGTCACGCGGACGAAATCGAGTTACACGGTGTAGCATTTAGCGTTAATTGCGGGTCACGCATCACAGATAACTCTTGGCTTATCGTGTCTGTATCGACAGGATGGTCGACATGCGCCGACTGCAGTTTTGACAAGCGATACGTCGCGTCGGCTCGTTCGATCGGGCCTGCTCTCTGTAGGTCAATCGGAGAAGGCGGAAGAGTCGATCTCTCTGTGCGCAACGAGCGGAAGTACCTACGATGTCGCATCTCGTTGCACGTGCATGCACGAGGAGACGCGCGAGCGGAACCCGGGACGTCCGCGCCGCATCGTGTACGGTACCCACGTATCGCGGGTGATACGCTCCGGTACGGCGTGGACGATCGATATTGCTCTAACGCTGATAAGGAGGGTTCATAACATACACGAGAGAGGAGAAGGAGGGGGAGGGCAAGAGATTGAAACCGGTATAGTTTCGTAAAGCTCGGATTTCAGTGGCACGGACACGCGAGAAACTACGCCCGTGAAAGCCGAGACGCGACAGGCCGACGTGAGGTCGTCCCTCGCGTATCTGTTGCTCTCGAAGGGCGAACTCGCTGAAATTGTACCGTTTCCTTTTTTTTTATTTCCGATGACAGGCTCGCGTTCTCACGCGATCGTTCCGGATATCGGGATTTTCAGACGCGCCGAATGCCGAGTCGCTTACATCGGCGTCGTTTAATTTTGAACTCTGATCTTTTGCATTTATGTACCAGGGATAATTAATCGAGAAGGGAGGTGGCAGAAAGTTTGAAGATTGATAAGGATGAAATTATTGCATGATTTATCGGAGATATTCATATTCGTTTATTAATTGCTTGATAGGACGTCCCAATTTGCGCAACTTTGATGAAGTGGATGGCTTCACTTGGCTTTCCCGGTATTAAACTTTAGGAGCGCGTAGATGACAAAATCTCAAGCTTGTTTAATTTCAACTGGAATTTATTTTCCACGGAATTTTCATCGGCATACATTGTTATTTGTATAAGTGCTTGCAGTCGGATAATTTATGAACCTAGACAATGGCTCGAGATAAAGTGGCGCTATCTTACATGCCTTTACCCTAAAACATTTTATCTTTATCTTAAAAAAAGGTTCAGAAGAGCAGGAAATACTCAAGGTTTTTAAAAATAGTCTTACTTTGGTTTCTACCTGATGGCAAGCGGGTTTTTCACTGGAAACTATCGATTTATCGAACGTGAATTATTAAACTTTATTTCTCGGGCTCAACGTTGAAATTATTTTAGAGCAAAAAATTCTTTCAAAGATACACATAAAGATAGAAACAAGCCAGCGTCTAATACGAATTGTCATTAACTGTAGGAAAGATTCGTGGGTTTTGGAATTTTTCCACAAATCGTAACGATATATCGAAAAGAGAACGACTTCAAATCGGTTGTTTCTCCGCAGGAAATAAATTGAAAACGCGGCAACTCGTTGAATTAATAAGCAATGACCAGTCTCGCGGAATCGCGATAGAATATTTTTCAGAATATTTCTTCTCGCGTAGATAAAGACGTCTTACGGTAAACGGTGGCAAGAAATGGCTATTTCGCGAAACGAGATCGAAGCCTCGTCAACGAATAGGAACCTGCTAGACACGTTTATCCGACGCGATCGAGCGAAGTGCGCGCCTGTTAATATTTTTAGATTCATATTTGATGGCGAATAGGCGAAGAAGCGGAGTAGCGACGAGGCTAGAGTTTATTGCGCAACTCTTTGCACGCGATCGATTAACGACGATTTAGATCGTTGAAAACCGAACGCGGAAAATCGTCGTTATTCCCAGAGACAAATAAATAATTCACATTTATGAAAGGATTATATAGCATTTGTTTTTTCCCGTGGATACAAAATGGTGAAATTGTCCATGTATACTTTGCAGGTCTCTTAAATCATTTTGACGCTCAAGAACTTTATCGCAAGGGGATAAAACGAGAATGTTAATGAACGGCATGTGGCTGAGAATTGAATCGTTAACATTCATTAGCACTTTACGATATAGCCGCCTTCATTAACGCTTCTTGCAACGTTGCATTTAAATTAGAAGCTGCTGACAATGCGAATATAAATGGCATTTATTTAGAATATATACGGTACAAGCGTACTTGATAAACAAGGCGGTTCGTGAAAATTAAGATACACTTCTTCCCGGCATAAACGTCGAAATAAAAAGTTATCGAGCGATTAATACTGGGAGTTTCAGAGAATTAACGCCAACGGCACATTTTTCCTACTGGATAGCTCACGAGACCCAACAAAGATGCAGAGTTTTGGATCAGGTGACTTAAAGCTGAATCCCGATTGGCTCTCGTAAGCGATCCAATAGGAGAAACAGTATCGTGTGCCGTTGGCTTAAGCTTTAAGAGAGAAAAATGATGAAAATGTGGAATCAGGAAAAACACGCATTTTTTAGTTCATTCTTTAGCAAATTTCATTGAAATATCTGAAATAATAGGTAATTAAAGGTTTTAGCTGTGGAAATATTCAATTGAAAATTTGAAAACTGGGAGGAAAATATTCAGCGAAATTTCGATAAAATATTATTTCAGCCCCCGTAAGGAAAGCCTATATATGCCGTTCGTAGAACGCGCCTGCTGGCAAACGCTTTATACGTAGCTCCGCATTGTGTCGCATCGTTATCCAACATCCTGATTCTACCGCGGTGAATAAACCGCTTCCCTTATTAATAGATTCTAAAAATTACCTTACTCTACGCTACGTTATTCCGTCACGTGATAGCGTTACGATTAACGTCGCAATCGCAACGTCGTACGAATCGAAAAAAAAAAAAAGATTTAATGCCGATCTTTCACTCGCGCATTTCCCTTGTCGTCGTTTTCCCTCTGGACCGAAGCGATCTTTCACTCACGCATTTCCCTTCTCGTCGTTTTCCCTCTGAACCGAAGCGGGCGTTTCTACATTCCGGGAGCGCGAATTATCAATTACGATGCTCGCAATTATTCCGTTGGTCGTATGTATATGTACACAAGGATACGTAATAGAAATCGATGTTACGAGTCACGATACTCCGGTTACATCACCGTATATAATTACAGTGCACTGCGCGTTTCAGAACAGGTCTCTCTCGTCACTCGGATTTTTCTGCCGTCAGTGCCGGTTTTTCACGGTCGGCGTATCCGGCCTTGCGCTTTTCGATTTGCATGCACTCACGGGAGCATGCACCGCGCGGCAGTTCCGAGAATCGTAAGATATGCGAAAAGCCGGAAAGTTGCGGTGTAACAGGGACGGATATTTTGCTCCTCTCGGTCCGCCGGCCGTTTTCTCGCTCGGTATCGCTAATACCGCAATCTCGTCCCGCCGTTACCCGCATCGTATGCAGTTTCCGGTCCCGTGCGACGATGAGGCTGAGAAACTAATTATTTGTTTGCGTCGTTCTGGGTGCCGGTCCGGTCAGGAGGGGGAAAAAAAAAGACGCGATACGAGTTTTGTAACCAACCGCCGTTGCCGGTCGGTCGTTTCCTACGAGATTTCTGCGCCGGATAACTGCCCCCGGTGCTACTCTTTAACTGCGATTACTTCGATTTACATCACTTAAGTTCGATTACTTCGATTAACTTGGACCGCTTCTCCTATTTAAGAGCCCACTAATAATTCCCTCGGGATATTTTATGAAATTCTGATTTATGCTTTCCGGCTCGAGGTATCGTTTTTAGATATCGACTTTTATTTCTTAAGCAACTAATTTTAGAGCGTTAATAACTATTGATATAGCTGTTTAATCTATAAATGTTTTATTGTTGACAACGGTGTTTCTAACGAAAAAAATATATCCTGCAGATATTTAATTTCGACTTTTTTTAAGTACTTTGTCGTTTTTAGCTCGCCGTGCAATAGCAAATATTTTTTAATAAAATTACTCAGGGTCGAATAGACGTTATAGCACTAATAAAGCTTGAAGATTTTACATGTTACACGTGCAACTCGAATAACGTTATGCATGATTCAGGAAATTAAATTTTGATTCGTTATCCGGCAATCACACGTGGCCGATATCGCGATAAACGAGCCGTGTCCGGGCTCGTGGAAGCGAACGTCAGGAATGTCATTAAGCCGAGATTTTCGATTAATGTGGCAGGTGGGCGATAATGACGTAGCCCGCGACAATGACTTGTATACACGGTATATTCCTGCCCCTCTTTCCTCTACGGGGCTAAATAATCCGCAGGAGAGGAGGGCGATGATCCTCGGGCGAGACATCGCGCGGCGCGGCTCTCGTCTCGGAAGAGCGAGGAAAATCTCACGGTGCAGTCCGCGATCGGAAACGCATTAGAAAATAGCGTTCTCGTCTTACGTGCTCTCGACGCGAATATCGTCGAATGTCGTCGAACGCAATCTTGTAACGCGGTGTACTTACATGTGCATTCGCGCGCGCGCGAAAACATCGGCAGCATCTTGTAACGAGATGTGCAACGATTTTTCACGATGGCACACTTCGGATGCGGTATACGACGGTAAAGCGCACAGCGGTAGTACTTGCCACGTCGCATTTAGATTAGAAGCTCCTGACAGTGCGATTGGCATTTATTTAGAATAGATACAAAGCGTATCTGATTAACAAGGCGGCTCGTGAAAATTAAGACACACTTCTTGCCGGGGCATAAGCGTCAAAAGTGACGGTAGTATTGTTAGACGTGCGTTAGAAAATGCGTCCTTGTCCGCATTTTCTTTCACATGCAAACTGTGTCTTTAAACTTGGGAGAAGAAAAGAAACAATTTATGCTAATTTTGCCGTGCGAATAATTTCGCAATATGTGAGATGGAACTGACGCGATCGAGATGTCGGTACCCCAGCTGTTTGAAAAAAAAGGATTTTATTCTTAAATACTCACAAGTGTTTTATTCGACGAAGTTTATCAATTTTTTTCTTAGCATATAATAAGTGGAGTAAGCTTTAATTGATCGTAAAACGTGTAACGGAAAAATTTACTTTATTTTTATCGTACTGTTATGTTCGATTAAATGTTTGATCGATGAATCGTGTATTTCTGATGTCCTTTTTTTTACATTTCTTTAAACGGAAAAGAAAAGAAATAATTTATAACTTACGATCGCTTCGTTATGTTCTTATATTTTTATCGTACTGTTATGTTCTATTAAATGTTTGATCGATGAATCGTGTATTTCTGACGTACTTTTTTTTAAACTTTTTTAAACGGAAAGAAAAGGAAATAATTTATAACTTATGATCGTTTCATTATGCGAATAATTTCATAATTTGTGAGACGGAATTGACGCTGTCGTTACCCCAGCTGTTTAAAAAAAGAAGCTTATTTTTAAATATTTGTGAATGTTTTACTCGACGATGCTTATCGATTCTTTTTTAGCACACAATAAGTGAATACGCTTCAATGGATCATAAACCGTGTGACATACATATCTTTTCCAAATTCATTTTATTCTTATCGTACCGTTATAGGTATTTTACTGAATGTACGGTAAATGAATCGTGCATCTCTATACTCCTTTTCTTGAAACTTAAGGAGAAGAAATACAATAGTTTACCGTAATTTTACCGTGTGAATAATTTCGTGATTTGCGAAATAGAAAATGGACGCTAACTCGCTGTTTAAAAAAGAATTTTATTCTTAAATATTGGTAAATGCTTGACTCGACGATGCTCGTCAATTTTTTTAGTGCTCAAGTGGAGCCTGCTCTAATTGTTTGTAAAACATGACGATATCTCGTCAAAATTGATTTTGTCCCTATTGTATCGATACGGTTATTTTGTCAAGGGTATCTCGTATTTCGGATCTCTGTCGAGTGCGATAACATTTTATCGCAGTTGCCTGAATCCCCACATAGATATGGAAACGGTAACATGGATATACAGATCCCGGTAATATTGTATGGAATGACTTGAGTGAATCACTCGCTATATAAACGTCTATATAAGCCTACGCTATATCTGAAACGTGATATTACGTAAGCTCTGTTGAAGCTTCATGATCGTGAACGCGATTAGCGTGAAAAGTGAAATGTTCCTGGTGAAAATCACGAGGGAGAGACGAAAGTTAAAATAAAATTCGCGATGGTCTGCAAGAATGACTGAATAACCCAAACAGTTTTTAGCACCTCCGAGCTCTAGAGTTATCCAGCGCGATCTAACGTGTCGAGCGGAAAAATAATTATAGCAATCACGAGCCGCGCGTTTATAATTCCGCAAAATAACACGATAAAAGAGACTGAAGCTCGTGTCGCGCATTCAGCAACATTTAATACAGATTAGAATCTTGTGCTTCGCGTAGAACTTATTTGCGCAGACTAGTTTCTTTTTTCTTTTAATTCGCATAAATGTCGCCACGACGAGCACTCGTAACGAGTCGTGACTCGTCGTTGTAACGCGCAGTGTCCACCGAGGAAATGATTAAAGCGATTATGAGAATGTCGGATTGTAAAAAAAGAGAGACGCTGGCATATACGTTTACTGATATACCAGTGAATCGATATTCAGGGACACCGCGGTAATATTACCGCATAGAGTATAACCACACGTACATACACGGACACGGACACACACACACGTATGCTTTGCGCAGCGGAGGCACACATCGGTGAACACCTATTGCCTCTTCCCCCGTGTGTGTGCGCGGGAGCATACACGCCTCACCGATATATGCGTACACATGACGATCCGATGCATTATTCACCGGCGACCAACAGTACCAACGCCATGCGCGGCGCGATAACAACTATAGCATCTTCTCCGAGAAACACAGAAATAGACGGTACACCCGTCCGTCAAAAGCGTTAGAGCGAGGCACGCACCCACGAATGAAAGGACCCAAATTTCCGGTCGCCGTCTCGATCAGCACGCAATGGTACGTTCACCATCCCATTACTGTACCGTGCGCCCGTAATTAAACCGCGTTTGGTAGGAAGCGGTGGAAGATGATCCGAGGGAGAATCGCTCTCCGTGCTGCTTCCTGTCTTTGTATAATTGGAGCATTCCCGCGTTTTCGATCTGCAAATCGCCATCCAACTAGGAATGAGTCCTTTCTTAAGTAAATTTTTTACATATATTTTTTTACATATCTTTTCATTTTTTCTGTCATACATCTGTGGTAAGATATAAAGTACTTTACATTTTAGATGAAAAGAATTGTGCGGCTAAAGTCACGGCCTGGGTCAAGTTCGGTATTCACTATAAGAAAATGATTCGAAACAAGGTTGAACCAATCTAACTTCCATTTCAATTGATTCGTGTCTACGACTTAACGAAAACAGTTTTCTAGCTAATGTCGCTGCAATGCTCTTGTTTGAATCGTACATTAGCTTGCAAATATTCAGAAACTTGCCCAATGCTTTTTGTTATTTTCCCGTGAATACACTTGCCACGTAAAACTATTTTCTGGAAGACACAATGGCAAAACGTCTCAGCAAAATTACCTCGTGATAAGATAAGTTGAAGGTTATTTAAGATAACGAACGATATTTAAGAAAAACATAAGTCGCGAGCTGTACTAAAACGTACAAATAAAAATATTCTATTTTAAACTAAATAATTAAAATGCTTTTAATTTCTTTTCTAGAAGAATATGAACAAAATTTCAGCAAAATAATAAGTTTCTAATGTGTAATCAAATATCTAAGTGGAAGGCATTTTATTATACGTATACATATAAATATTGGACATTATTTAAATAAGAACCTAGTCCATTTTTATATGCACAGCGGTGAAAATATTTTTACACAGAGAGCTAATGAAACAGAAGTTTTATTAAAATCTTTTACTTTGCTCCACATGTTGCGAGATAAGCGAAAGGTAATTAATCTAATTAATTACGTCACTTAAAAGAATTGGGGCACGTGAACACGCGATAAAGTAATTTCACGTATTCTCTCCGTCCTCCTCGTCACGGTAATCGTTAATGGGCAACTGGCGCAATTAATACGACAAGATAACACGAGATAAAAGAATTTCGTGTGTACTTCTTTTTCAATGGGTTATTTCGGGGGTCGAGAATGCGGTGCGGCGTAATCAGGTTCATTCATAAGCCGTACTTTTGCGTATTACGCTGATAATGTCACGTTGGTAAAGGCTACTGTCTAAAGGCTCGTTTAAGCGGAACAATATCGGGTCGATACCACAAGACCACCTCGTATACAGCTCGTAACGTACTTTTAATTTCGCGTCCGTCCGTATCGTATTATATACACAACGCTACTCATTTTCCACTTAAGTATAACGTGCGACATTGATATATCGTCTTCTCAGAACGCTTTCATAGATACGCACATTTTAATCGCGATAGCATAATTGATAATTTAATTTTCCTATTAACTTTTATATTACACACAGTGCTCTTATTATTTGTTCATTTTCCAGATAAATCAGTTGATACGAGCCTAATGCAATGAAGAGATAAATTGTTGCACTCGGTTTTTTCTTCTCTCCTATCTTTTTTGTCTCGTTTTGTTGAAATAGATGTGCTAATTTTAATTCCAAATAATTCGTTGAGTTCAAGTGTTAAGGACAAACGATTGTACTCTTTCTATTCTTTTATTTCGCGAAGTATGCGCTACTGTTAGAGATCTCGTTAACAATAATTAATGGTTATACTATAGATATTTTTCATTTGAATATATGCACTTGAGTACATCTGTACGTTATGTTTCAGATTTGAAGGCGAAAATGAAGGGCCGGACGACGCTCCATTCTTCTTCATCGAGGTAATTGATAATATTGTTTGCAAGTCCGTCACA